GATCTTCTTGGAGATGCTCACGGCGCTGGATCTCGGGGGCTTTTGGGTGGTTCTGTTTAGGGTTTAATTGGGGCTTTAGGGGTTTAGGGTTTAGGGGTTTAGGGTTTGGGGTTTAGGTTTTAGGGGTTTGGGGTTTAGGGGTTTGGGGTTTAGGGGTTTAGGGTTTAGGGTTTAGGGTTTTAGGGTTTAGGGGTTTAGGGGTTTGGGGTTTTACCCAGAGAACCCAAGACCCCTCAAGTAAGGAGTAGACCTTAAATCATAATATTCAGGCCCCTATAATTTAAGGTCTATTCCTTAATTAAGGGGTATTGGGATCTCTGGGTAATGGGGTTCTACAAGGGTTTCTATAAGGGCTACTATAAGGGACCTACAAGGGTACGCAGAGGGGTTCTGCAAGGGCTACTATAAGGGACCTACAAGGGTACCTAAAGGGGTTCTATAAGGGTTACTAGAAGGGACCGAGGGTACTATGCTGTAGGTCAGGGACCACGACTCGCCGGGCAAAGAAAACACTAGTCCAGGTGGCTTTTGAGCCCACCAACCCAAACAATCAAACACTCCCATAACATGGAGACAATGAAAACAGTCTTCAATATGTGTGCGCTCAATAGCACTCACTACACGCCAAGACGCTACTTCACAAAGACGTCTAGACCGACAAAGCCGATAAAGTCATGGTGACGAAAACGCTTGCCGGTTTTCACAGAGAACCAGTGCGGAAATTTCTTGTTGAGTTGGATCTGTTAAAGGTTCGCTCTGACATAGCTGTTGAGCTGACCATGTGGGAGTTGGACATTTCAACTGCAGAATGATTTGCTCCATGAGTTGGAAGTATGTGTGCAATGGTGTTGACTTTGTTGGGGAGAGTTTCCGAAGCGTCTTGAAACGCGTACTTTTTCGTTTGATGGGCTTCAAAAGCCGATCCGTTACGGCACTGTCTATGTACTCCGGCATCGTCTGTAGAATTTCAAGGCCCGAAGGTCAAGGTCCGGCCGCAGTAGCTAAGGGCCAGCCCAGACTTGGCCTTAAGCCCTAAAAGCAAGGCCAGACGGTAGGCCCGAGACCCTCTTTGCCAAGCCAGCCGTAAACCCTAGAGACCAGGCCAGAGTAGGCCCTGAACCCGAAAGGCCAGCCCAGACCCCAGATTGAAAGATTGAAGGAATAGGTCCAAGCACTGGTGCCAGATTGACCAAATTGTCTGAAGCATTGGTCCTCATTGACCAAAAATGCATTAAGCATTGGTCCAGATGGACCAAATTGCATAAAGCATTGGTCCACATAGGCCAACATGCACTAGGGTTTACGCACATATCAAAGAGGGTTCAGGGTTTCGAGTTTAGAGATGTTGGGGTCGACTATAAGAGTTTCTACGAAGTTTAGAGATGTGGGGGTTTACTCTCAGAGTTTCTAAAAGGATTTAGGGTTGAAGAACGCAGAGAAGCCAACCGCCGCCCACCCTCTCCCGGCTGCCGCCACACCCCTTAGCTTCGCTGTGTATCCGATTTGTACTAGGGCTTAGGGTCTAAGGTTTGGGGTTTAGGGCGATGCTGTACTGGTTTCTTTTGCCCGTTCACCGTGTTTCAGCTGTGCAGGGTTCAAAAGCAAAAGGTGATTTCGCGCATCGCCGCAACCCGTAGCAACTGCATGTATACTACACCTCAAGCTTTATAAGTACACCTTAAGATCCGCCACCGCCGCAACCCCGCACCTCAACCCTGAACCTTAACCCTATAAACTATCGCCGAGACCCTCGAGCTTAGCTGAAAAGGAGTTCAAAAAACATCACGTAGTGGCCCATATGTATACCAATACTATTTCTATTTGGGGGGGGGGGGCTCCTTGTTAGAATTATAGCATATTTGGTCCCAAAACCCTATTCTAATTCTTAAGACCCCTATATTTTCAACCCGAAGCCCGGACCTTGGTTTTTTTCGGGGTTTCCTTGCCGACCGCCAGGCTCGGTCGGTGCACATTACTGGAGTGCGCTGAGGCGCCTTCAGCGGAGGCTCGGTAGGACAAGATAATATACAGGGGTTTAGGGTGTTATGGGGTTTTATGGGGTTTTATGGGGTTTGGGGGTAAAAAATAGGGGCTTTTACTAATTAGAATAGGGTTGGGGTTGATAATTATAACTATAGTATAATATGCCCCCAAACCCTATTCTAATTATTAAGGCCCCTACAACTAGGGGTTTCAACAGGCAGTAATAGAATCTCCTATTGGCACCCATCGTATACTTGAGACCAAGGAAGCCCTAAAATATACGGCGGTATATGATCTGGGAAAGCAGGCGAGGTGGTAGACAGTTCTATTATCTAAAAGTGTCAATGAGCACAGGCACGGCGCTAAGCATCGCACGAAAGTTGGAGTTGTGGCATCTATCGTGCTGTCAATACACATTGCCCACTGCCAGGCAGATCATGGCCAATCCAAGTAATAAGGTGTTGCAGCCAACAGGTGAACGAAGATCCTGCGTAACCTTGTACAAATACAATCCCAGCAACCCTATACCCCTAAGCCAGAAACTTTCCCTAAACCCTAAAGCCCAAATCCTGCTAGGAGGAAGATGATACCTCCATGGCTTATTCCTCTGACTACGAAGCAGAGCAGTCGGAGAGGCACTGTGTGGCAGATGTGACATGGTTTGGCATGTTTCGGTTGTACCGCTTAGATTTTCCTAGAGTCTCCGACGTTCCAGAGTGTAGGGTGCAAGAATTGCAAGAATTGTTGAGCAGTATGGATTTAGAGTTCGGTGCTTGGGGGTCAAGGGTTCGCAGAACATGCGTTTGGAGTTCGGGTTTCACGCCCTAGTGCTTCTTGCTTTCATGGCTTGGTATTATTTGGGCGTCACCGGGGAAGCTCATCCACGATGCCCTATCCGAGCTCAAGGCTTTCGTGGACGATTCAGGGTTCAACCCTCCATTGTAGTTCTTGTTTTTGGTTTAACCTAATTTATAGCTAGGATCCTATGAGATAACCTCGAAAGGAACTGCAACGGAGACTGTAGGTAAACCCTAAACCCTAAAGCCAGGGTTCGCCGAAAGTGCTGTCTGGATGTCCTGTCGTGCGATGGAGCAAGCACGAACCCTGAACCCTCTGATGAAGAGCAGTTCAGCACAGGATGACACGACTTTGAGATATGTATGTATATATATATATACATATTAAACTAAATAGCGCTGTATGTCTCTGTAGATCTGTATGGATAGTTCGGGCGCTTTATCTTGCATATAAAAGCATATATCATAGAACTATATAAGCATCATTTCCTTGCTTCAAGCTCTACCCCAGGTGTCCAGTTGATGTCTTCAAGTCCCTGTCTCACTTCCGAAGATGCTGCTTCTGCAGAGCGAACCCCTCGTATACAACACTAGAGCCAGGTGTTTAGGGTTTAGGGTTTAGGGTTCCGGGTTTAGGGTTTAGGGGTCATTAGAGCCGCTAAAACTAGGTTGAAATTGAATTGTCGAAAGCCCCAGACCCGAGCCTAGACGCCCTGCCGGCTCCGAACCCTAGAACCTCCAAACGAAGCCCTGCGAGCCACAAGAGAATACTATAAGGGGGGTAAATAATCACCTATACTGTTTTGGGGGTTCCTTATTGTAAGTATATAGTATAATATATACCCTGTTCTAATTATCAAGGCCCCTACATTACCCTACAAAAATTTGCACCCCTGAAGCCCTGGCGACTGAAAGCTGTACTGTGGAAACCTCACAGAGACCCACGCAGAACCCAACCAAGAAACCCAAAGTGTGCTGCTAGCCTACAACCTTACACCCTTGAACCATACAAGCCCTAAAGTCCGAAACAATATCGCGAAGGGGCAGATCTTCTGGAATTTCTAGACCCTGATGAACCAGACCCATACTCCATTGGGACTCCTTGACCTCTTTACCCCTAAACCCGAAAACCAACTCCTGCGCACATCTATACACAGCCCTCCGGTTCAAGTTAACGGTTTAGGGTTTTGGGGTTGAGATAAAACTCCCCCTACTTTTCCCTCAGATGTCGAAGGTACTCTTACGACCTGGAGGACGGCACACCAAGCTCTACCAGCCCCGAGGACGGCACACCAAGCTCTGCCAGCCCCGTCTCAGCAGGCAGGCCCTTGGGTGCCTGGTGGAGCTTGAGTTCAGGAGGGCTTTGGGTTTGGAGTTTAGGTTTAGGGTTTAGGGTTTAGGGTTTAGGATTTGGGGTTCAGGTAGGTTTAGGGTTTAGGGTTTAGGGCAAAAGTTTAGGGTTCAGGGTTTAGGTCTGGGGGGTGGGTGTTCTTGGTTCCCCAGTGGTACCCTTTTGTCCTTTTATTCCTGGGCGCCCGTATTAAAAGTCGCATATCAAGAAACAGGGCAGCCTTATTATTACGGGGAATCTAGTACAAGCATTCAGCAAGAGCTCTAAGGGTTGCATAAGCGTGACCACAGAGTTCATAAGGATTTGTGATTTAAAGGGCGCTATGGTTTTGAAATCTGCCGCAGCGGTCTGATCTTGTTCGGTGGTAAAGTCTACGACATTTTCAGGTGGGTAGTTACCGTTATAGGAGCCTCATAGAAGGTCTATATACCTTATGGAAGCCTTATAGAAGCCCTATATACCCTAAACTCCCCAGCTGTAGTTTCCTTTAACAA